CCCCCCCCCCCCCCCCCCCCCCCCCCATGGAAGTAAAAACAGCATTTCAGTCTTGTTCTATCTGCAGTTTTAATTAAGGCCGCACAATTAATCGAAATGTTGTCAAAATCGTAATATAGCCTATTGCAGTTTTCAAATTTTAGGAGGCCTCAATATAGCATTTTATATTAAATATTGTCTCGCTGCAGAGATGTCCTGGCCGACAGATCACCATCTACAGATAAACTCTTTGATCGATACAGATCCCCGCAGAAATCCTACCATAATCATTTTTACATGTTTTTCAATGAAAATGAGAATAATTATGTAAAAATTATTCCCTCTAATATCACAATTGCAATTTCAAGTCATAAAAATTTGCCAGAGTGTTAATCCTCCCTTGGAGGTGGAGGAGATAACATCGATTCCCACAGCAACAGGAAGTGTTACTGCACTTATACATTCATGTGTACACCGAAAGGCTGATTTAATGTCCACTTCAAGCATTAGGCAATCACACTAGTGGCTTCCTGATAATGTCATTCTAATCAAGGTGATTTGTATTTGAAGTGGATGACATTTTCTCAACAAACTAGTAAAATACATTTTTAGGGCTCACATGACCATTATTTGCAGAGTTAATCAAATCTTACACACTTTAATGATCTGCAAAACATGTTTATAACATTCATTCTAAAGGACAATTAACCTGTGTGCTGAGAATTTAAGCAAGTAATCAATCAAATAGCAAGATTCAGGGAAACCCGTATGTTTCAGGCATCAAAGCCGAAGTGTAAGCTGAATATATACAGACAGACAAGAGACAATCCCCAGCCCCGTCTCCAATGGTACCTGTGAGGGATTTAGAGGCGCAGTCCTTTCCTCCGGGGGGACCTGATCCAGTGCCACTTACAGAACCCTCGTAGCTAATGCAGTCATAACAAAGCAGAGCTGTTCAAGGATAAAAAAGACAAAATATAAAGAGAGAAGGGGCGATGAAAAATAGAGTCATGGGTTGCTGATTTTCTATTATTATATCAGATAACAGGGCTTGGCATTTCTTTCCAATTCGGGGTGCATTATTCATATTCCAAAGCCATATTCTTTCCAGGAACAGCCCTGATTGATGTTATGGCTGAGTTAGCCATGCTGAAGCTTTCAAACCACAGCGACTACCTGCACCTACATGCACCTGGAAAACCAATCATGCCCCCCTGAGCAGCATAGCTATCATTTTTTAGCTTAAACAGGCTGCACTTGGATCAAAACAAGCACATAGACTGGACACCTGCAAGTGAACTTAGTGGGTGCTTTAACAGAGGAGGGGAAAACAGAAGCGTTAACAGAAAGTTTAAAGCAGCAGCAACCCTCACAACCTGACAGAAGCCAAATTCAAATGTGTTAGAGCTGGAAGAGACAGACACAGGGTTAGTAAAGCAGAAGAGAAACAGTTGCAGAGTTAAAAGCTTGCAATTTAACAGCAGTTATTACTAAACTGGTTTAGTTTTCACTGTCTGACTGTAAGTAACAGAATATCTTTTTTTAAGTTAAAGTGGCAATGCCTAAGATTTCAGTCCTGGTTGTTTTAATATTTTCTATTTAAGTCAAAACAATGTAATTGTGCTTAGAGTTTAGCAGTTTGGAGTCTTTCTGTTGATACATTAGCTTCACGTATTCAAAACTGTCGGCATTTAGTATTTTTGTGTGTAAACACCCAGTTCGTAATACTGCAAATATACAAATATTGCAATACTTTCATCAGGGGGCCATAGGCAAAATCACTATTGTGTTACCTCCTATGGCAATATTTCAAATGAATATCTTTGAGATTGCCACTTGAAAGTGTTGTTGGATCAGGATACAGAAAGCACGTTTTAATATTGATTGTACAAGAAAGAGCAAAGCGTGGAGGTTGTGTATTTTGTCCACACAAGTCTTTTCATGCTATGCAGTATGTTCCTGATTTTTAGCTACTTCACCTTGCGTCATATTATGTCGGTGTCGTACCTGCAAATGCTTTGGAAATCCTCTCTTTCTTCCACTCCCAGGGCTGGTCGTACTCCTCGGGGGGCCGCTCGTCATCCTGGGGCAGCCGGCTTTCTCTGGGGCAGCGCGAGTGCTCCGGGTCAGAGTCTCCGCCGTTCTCGGCTGGCTCATACGGCGTGTCGTACAGGGGCGGCTGCCTCATCGACCCTTCCTTGGGTCCTCGCCCACCGGATCGTATTTCTACAAACAAGGAGAAAGACCGGTCGTTAATGCTGGGGTTCTGTGATAAAACTTTATAGATGAAAACGGCTCCGTGGGGCAGAACACCGTCCACATGCGAAAAATGAGGATTTATGACAGTAGATGCAATTACAAAACACTAAAGCAGGACAGTTTGGAAGGCCTGACTTGCACATTTCGTGTACAGCATGTGATGAATGTGTCGTGATATTTTAACTGATTTGACAGATGGTCACATTTTCAGCAACTTGCATTGTTGTTATAAGGCTGAATTCACAGCCAGTGACAGTTTGCAGGTTAAAGGGCACTAATAACATTGACTATCAGACTAAAAGGTTTATCTATTTCCCTCCATCTTTGAATGAGAAAGAAGCTGTAAACCAAGTAAACTCTGTCATTTATTATGGCTGGTAATAAACAATTTCTGATCATTGTAGAAGAAACGGTACACAAGGGTAAAAAGGGTAAAAAAAAAAAAGATTGCTCATAATAATGTTGGTACGTTCTTGTGCTGAAGAAATCAACTGTCCACTGAAGTTGCTCAACTGTTGCCCACTGTTGCACTGCCTCAACAACCTGGGTTTGTTTTTTATAAGGTAGCTGGCAGCATTGCAGTCAAACCGTAGCCTCAATGCACACCAACAACAGTTAGCAAGGCGCCAGTGTGAGACGGCTACAGGTGCTACATGTACCGTGTTCACATCTCAAGTGTAAATCCCCCACCAGCCACCATCAGGAAGACAACAATCTGCATGTTGAAGGGATGTGATGTGTGGGATGTGCGAGCGGTATAGACGGGGGACTCTTACATGTAGAGAATGAGGGCGACAGTTTGCTGTTGCTGGAATGATAACAGTAGTGGGAAGCAGAAGAGTGTTGAAATCAGGGGAGGCCAGGGGGGCCTGGGGGGGCTGAGCACCTGCAACAAGGACACAGTGTAACCTCCCTGAGCACAGCAGAAATCACACCACGGCTCTGAACAGCCTTGCCCCCGGGCTGCACATACCTGCTCTGTCAGAACAGAGACGGCACCGATTTCCTTTCTCACTTTGTTCCCTCTATGTCCCATATTCAACATATAAGGTCTATTTAATCAATAGTTGATTTACACCCGTCATTTCAGTAGTATTATCATTTTCTTAAAATCAACATATACTCTGGTATAATGTCATTTCACCTTGTGCAATCTCTGCACAATGCACAGAGGCTCCTTAGTACATGCAACAGTAAACACTTCTTGGAAAATTTCAACATCTGTGGTTTGTCTGTAGTTGGATATTTCATGTGTCCTTGCTTTCTGCATGAATATAAAATCATGACTAAGACGGACACTGCCTTGAAGGATGCCTGACCGCCGTTTGAGATATTTAATCTCATAAAGCAGTCAGGTTTATCTCAAGCATTTCAAAGAGGCTGTGAAAATCACATTACTGAGAAATATAAAGCAAAGCAGCGACAAACATTTCAGCAAACCCCAAACATGTCAACGTTTCAAACTGTTTCCTGAATATGGCTTACTCTATATACATTTTAGGTATGTTAAGAATCATGAATCTAATCGAACTCATGTTATAAATCGAGTTAACATCACCTGACCTAATCTAGGATGCAAGCGAAACCTTTCTTTCTCCATGTAAGCAGGTGGAACAGACCTGACTCCTAATGAAGCCTCGTGCCCTTGAGAACTCTCCTCATCTCCTTTTTTTCCTCTGCCTCCGCCTCCGCCTCCCCTCACCAATCTCCCTCCACTCATATGAAGTTGTTAGCAGCCTGCACCCTTCCTCCTGGGCCACATGAAGCTGTTAGTGGCCAGCATTACCATAGAGTAATGCAATGTGAAGAGAATGAAATATTATGCCACACTACTGCATAATTGCCTCTTAGCCCAAGGGAGCTCTTGCGGAAAAATGAGCAATGCGTTGAGCCTAATGGAGCTACCCGCCGGCGGTGGTGGTGGTGGTGGTGGTGGAAGCGGAGGGGTGGAGTGAGGTGAGGCTGCCTGGGCCCGCATCTCAGTGTAATCCCGCATTAGGCAAACTCACACTCTTTGATCTAGCAGTTAAAAGACTTGGTACTACGAGATCCTGGCATGATTAGGTCCTTCCTCCCTGCAGGAGAACAAATAGCTCTAGAAGGGGGTGGAAGAAGCAAAAGCAGGGCTGCCTGCCAGAGGAGGCAAAATGAGAGTGGGATGGGAGGAAGGTATTACTGGTGGTGAGTAAATCTTGTGGGAAGAACCCTTTAATTGGAGGCACGTTGCCTTCGATAAACTGCTGCAGTGGATTGAGACTCCCTGCTAGCTCCGAATGAGGCCTTGTGTGTGCAGATAGCAGCCCCGTTGGCCTTCTTCCTTCCAACCTCCTTTCCTCGTTTCCTTCCTTCCATCCTCCACTCTTTTCTTTTTTCGCTGTCAGCTCCTGTTAAGGCACGCTTGGTAAGCTGGGTGGGGACACATCAGTCTAGGCAAATTACAGTGATTGGCATGGCAGTGGGGTTGCATGTTTCAACACAGCTGCAGTCTATCTTTTTGTCTTAGACCTCTACCCTGTGTTAAGGGTCAGAGGTCAGACACCACACCCTCCCTTGATGTGCCTCATACCTCCCCCTCCCCGGATGACCGAGTTCCTGTCCAGATGCTGCACTTCCTCTCCCTTATGCTTTTTGCCCCTTGCCTACTTGGTCTTGACAACTCCTACATTCATACCCCTGAAATGCTTGCAATATTTGATTTTCCCTAGTATTGTATAAAGGGAAGGAGAGGAGATATTTTATGCAGCCGAAAATAAGTTTTTGCTCCAAAAGGTGTGTTTAAAAGTATTTTAAGAGACAATTAAACACCGAGAAAGTGTGCCACACTCCACGGGGTTTCGAAAGTCATGTAGCAGCAGCAGCAGCACTGACCATAACCATCTGTTTAGGGCCACTAAAAAAGCTGCATTCAAGCTTTTTCCTAATGAGAAAAGACACAGATACGTCATAACAATTTTAAAAAGCACCAGTCAGTTCAATGCAAGTTTCCACATGCAAGCAAAAAAATAAATAAAAATAGAGGCAGTGAGAAGAAGAGCTACGCTTTGAAACAAGGCTGAAATCCTGTCTTCGTTATTATTTTCATCTCTGGTTCATGAACTAGAGAGATTAATCCTATGGGAAAGAGAGGAACATGCTCCTTGCAATACATCCAGGGGGGCTCCTGTTACACGCACTACAATAGAAGCCCTCCGGGCATATTATCACGGCAGTGCATGGGCAGGCAGAGAGCTGTGGATTAAATTAAAAAAAACATTAACAGCGACCAACCTGGAAACCGCATCCTGCTGCACATAAAGGACTGACCGAGCCATCTAGCCCTCATCGTCCGGACCGCTCCTGCATTACGTCGTCGTCCTTCTCCATTATTGCCAACCGGTGAAAGTGAATGCATTTGCAAGAAAGTAGCAAACAATTGCATAACTGTGCTTTTATTGCAAGGCTAAAGCTTCAAATATGTAAAAGGGGGAAAACACATTTATCTGCCTCTCTGGTTGACTGCCGCCCGCCCACTCCTACTGAACCAGAGAGAGAGTTTGCTGTGCGATGCGCTTGCAGAGGCACAGTGAATATCTGGATTTGATTGAGGGGGATCTCTTGTGCACTAGTGAAGGATTAAATGCGATTGACTTTACACCCCAGGAAAACAATGGCCAGAAAATACCCAGGCTTCAAGGATTTGCTCTGCCTGCTCCCTGAGTTAAGTCACTCTTAAAGAAAGCCTGAACCTGAGGAGCTATTGTCACTTCATAGAGCTCGGTTATCAACGAGGTGGATCTCTGCCGAGAGCCTCCATCTGAAGAGCATGACGAAATATGCGTGAGCCAAATGGGTAACTAAGGATATATTATAGTAGAACACTCCCTGCATAGTTCAATGTTTTAAAACAGATAAATGATTGAATCAGAGAGCATCTGCTCTAACACATGAATTACTAAACTCATGCTCATGAATGCGAATGGGTATTTTAGAGATCTGTGACACTGGCCCAGCCAAGCTTGTTCCATGACAAAGACACACGTTTATGAAGGCTACAGGGTTGATCAACAAAAGCCGCTGCAGCATGTGGCATGTGAGGCTTTTCCGTAGCTTTGGTTACATTCTGTCTGATGGTCCAGGTCTGTGAAGAGACAACAGGGCTTATCTTGCCTCAGCAGTCAGAGATTTAAGCTATATCGGGGGCCACCCACATATATCGTGCGTCAGTATGAGAGCGGGCTGACAAGAGAAGGTGTTTTGCTCCTTGACCCGTGGCGGCCGGCTGTTGAGTGTCATTCCGCTTATTGAGTGGAGCCAAGAGGAGGCTCCTCCCTGAGACCGTTACCCAAAGACCTCTGGGAGAATCGTTACGATAAGCAAAGACAAAACAACCCTGTCAGCATTGTGCGCACGGCTCACCCCCGATTTTGATTTAATGTTCACGTCTCATAGTGTTTTAAAATGGAACAAAAGCAGCAAAGACAAAACAAGTTAATTAACACGCGCGCTTCTGTCATACATCTCTTTTCACAGCCTGCACAATTTCAACATTCAGTACTTTGATTTGATATTTGGAGACAATTTGTAAAGCTTTGATTTTTTTACAGTCGTGCCTGTCTCTCGGCGAACATGACAGGTTTGTCAATCTGCAAGGGGTGTGTGTGTGTGTCTGTGTGCTGCTGTGTCTCCATCAGCCTCCTGCAGACAGAACAAAAGCAGCCATGCCTTTGTTCTCACCGTCTCCTCCTTCCTCCTGGCTCATACTGTGCCAGGCTTGCGGTGGGTACACTCCAAGGCCTCTGCCTGCCTGTCACACGTATACTTTCCGGAAGCCTGGAAGCCAAAGCTCAGACAGTCTATTCACGCTGGGCCCAGAGAGGAGAGTATTTTGGGTTTTGCTTTCTTATAAATGCCTACTGTTTCAGCTGGAAGTGATACTTTTTGTCATTCAAATGAAACATAGTGAAAGGCTCCTGTAGGCAGGATGTGTC